TGTACCCTGGTCAGGTGAAACACCCTCCTCTCCTTCTAAGCCTAGGGTACTGGCTGGCCAACTAACATAGGCTGAGATGCCAGCTTTGTTAGAAAAGATGCAGTGTCCCCACGCTGCTTTCCTTCACCTCCATACTCAGCCACATCTTTCTATCATGAATAGCAAAAAGGAGACTGAAATATTTATAAAAAAGTGTGACAGGCATATATGGGCAAATATTGGAAGATAAAAGCCAGGACTCCAGTTCACAATGTGAGTTTGCAAAAGCTGCTGAAAGCAAGGGTTGATCTCTGCAAACTTCTAGCAACACTGTGCAGCCAGCAGCTGTCACTGTAAGCAACCAAGAGGAACAGGAGTGAGAGAGCTGGGGGATGCTCCTAGGTGGGAAGAAAGCAACTGGAAAATAAAAACACAGGAGAAGCTGCAATTAAACACTCAGCAGCTCCCCAAAACCGTCCCCTGTCTGCCAGGAGAAGCCGCTCATCAAAAAGGCTCAGCTGGCCTTTTAAAATGCAGCCCGAATCTTCCGAGATGCTAAGCATATCTTATCGCAATGGGATCACAGAGCAATAGCAATTCATATCCTGTGCACAAGTGGGATTTAAGATTGGGCAGCCCTTCTGATGCATTTCCCAGGCAGGGCTGAGCGGCATTAAAGGCAAGCAGCGCAGGAAGCCTCTTCCAGCTACCTATTAGCACGTGACAGCTTTGAAACGTTCAAGATCCTCTGCCCACTATCCACATTACTCAGCTGTCAAAGTAAAGGCCTCAGATTTATGATGTGAAAATTACATTTTAACGAGGTGTCATATGTGTTTAAAGTTCTTATTCATCACCATCCCGCCACATCTTTTACCCAAGACACAAATGCACTTAATTAGCATATTATAAGGACAGAGGGTTCACCTTATCTGCATTGTAAAACTGCTTTAGGAGAAGAAACCACCACCCTTCCTGAATAAAATGGATGCAGTCACATGTCAAGAGAGCATCCTGAGATACTGAAGGCAAATGTGAAGGATGAAAGTTTGATGGGCACTCTCTGAGGTTTTTAAAGTATCGCAGATACGGATGGAAGCTTCGTATCACATTTCATCACCAGGCTGGCAGTTTGCAGGGTTAATTTACAGTATACGAAAGCCACTTAAGTGCAAAGAGGCTGCATTACAAGTCGTATATCAAGTCACTATCTTCCTCACAGATAGGGCACATTTATTTATTAACATCATACATCCATTAGCAGCCAATAACACATTTCCAGGGTCTCCTGAACAGAACTTACATGGGAAAAACTGAACATCTCTTCAAAAGCAGGATGTCTGCATTTTCCATCCTGCCACAGGGAACAGCCAGTAGCTTAAGCAGAGCTTAACCAGCAACAAACAGCCATGGCCTTGCAGCACTTTTGTCCCCAAGGTTCCATCTCTGATACCTGCATGCCTGCAAAGAGCTCTGTGGCACTGTGTGTCACTGCCAGGACGTGCAAGTTGTGTCCTCATCCTGGTGCCAATTTAGGAAGAGATGTTACTGCAGCTGCCCAGGGAATGGAATGCGTGTGCCCTGCTGAGGGGGCTGATACCAAAGCTAAGCACAGAAACTCCAGATTTTGACACTCATTTACAGTGAGATATAAAAGCCCAATTTTTGCAAACAAGGGCCTGGGAAAGCTCTGTGACAGTGAAGATCTCAAGTGTGTACCAAACCTACCTGCACAAATAGGCCTTTAATTAAAATGCACAGAAAATGTTTAATCGCCGTGAAGAGTGAGAGGATATGATTCCTGCCTTTCCTATAAGAAAAAAGACTCCTGCTGCCTTTTTTCCCTGGATGGTCTGGGAAAAGACTGAAAATGTTTGAGTCTAAGTGATCTGGAGCCTCTAGCACCTGTTTTTTATTTCCCATATTCTCGAAATGTACGATACCAGAGATTTCAAATATGTTTCAAACACGTTAACTGGCTATTTAGGCTGCTAAATATATTACTTTGCCTGTAACAATCAATTTTTGGCTTTAAGAGCTCTGTTTTTAAAACTTCACCCTTAACTGCTTTTTAACAACCAATTTCCTTGACCCATCAATTTTACAATCTTTTATTTTCTAATTAAGCAAATATTGTTTACATATTTTGCTACTCAAGCTGTAATGCTATAGAAAATAGCTGCAAAATGCATTCTCTCTTTGAACGTCACCCTTTCTAAAGGAACTGAGAAGCTATAGCAATTTTAAAAGAGAAGGGAAAAATGTATCAACAATCTGCTGTTTGTGAAAATAAGTTAAAAGAGGAATCTAAAAATATTTCCTAGGTTTTCACCGCTTTCCCAGTGTTACACAGGCTCCTGTCCCGCTCTTTGTTGGAGGACTCATGGCGGGTTTAATCCAGCCACATAGTTACAAGTATATTGCTTATATATAAAGAAATTCAGCATGAAATTTCACATTAGCCAAAAAATGTGTTTCGTTGGATCCTTAAGGGGACATTCAGGCTGGATATTAGGAAAAAAATCTTCTCAGAAAGAGTGTTGATGCATTGACAGAGGGTGCCCAGGGAGGTGGTGAAGTCACCAAACCTGGAGGTGTTGAGGAAACGTGGAGATATGGGCATGGTGGGGATGGATTGGTGTTTCTTGTCCAACCTTAATGATTCTATGAGAAAGAGTCACACAGACCTTGTCTACCAGCTTCTCTCTTTTGAAAAGAATTAAATGTTAAACAAGTATTTGCTCCCCTATCCAACTCAAAACCAGTGGTTTCACTTGACTAACTAGTAAAATAATGTTCCCCCTCATCAGGCTGTGCAGGTAATGGAGGATTGAACTCCCTCTGCAAATGCATTCTCCTTTGCTTTGAAGTGCCTCAACCCCATTCGACCTGTCAAATCAAGGATTTCACTTTCTGTCAGTGCAGCCTTCTTACAAAAGTCCTGCAAATCTATATAGCAGTGAGGTAAAGGCACACCAATGCAGTTCTGCCAAACAGACAATTTCAGCAATTTTCAGAGAAAAGAAAGGCATGTAAAATTCAGCTTTGTGTCCACGTTGCAAAGCTATAAAAAGCGTACAAAAGGAACAAGAAGGCTTACCAGATTCCCTGACATCAACTTAACCCTCTTTTTCCAACATCCAAAGCCAAAACCTACTTCAGCTTTTCATTTCAGAGGATGGTGGGTTTTAAATTCCCACCCAAACACTGGTGAAATCAAAGGGAATTGAAATCCCAGCCAAACAGCATGACATGGAATAACTCAAAGTCTTATGCTGACATTCCCAGCCCTCCACAAGATTTTCATCTGCCCTCCCATCTCATTAGCTTAGACTCTGCTAGGAAAACGGGATGGGAAGGTACTTATTTTTTTTACAAAAAAAAAAAAAAAAGTGCAAAATTTGAGTTTTTCATTGAAAATGGCTTTTTTAAAAGATTTAAAAAGATTTTTTTTAAAGATTCTATTACTGAAAACAGTCAGTACTTGAAAAAGAGGCAGTAGAGAGTCCACTGTAATATCTGCAAATGAATCATTGAAAAAGAGAGAAATCCTGTGAAATAGGAGGGATGGAATTGATTTTCACTCCTTGAGGATAACCAATAACTCACAAATTGCTCTGCTTCACTCCACTACTCAGAAAGTACATGCTCATCATTATGTTGGGAGAATGAAAAGTGTTAGTTCATTTCTTGCTCATTTTAGATCTTGCAGAGGTCAAAATCATTGAAAGGATCCCCACTCTTCCCTTAACCCAGGCTCATTCATTTAGTTCTTCCAGAAATCCTTCTTGTCTTCCTTACATTTTTGTATCAAAATTGGAAATTCCTTGCTCGATTACTACCTCTATTCCACCTATCCTCAGATTTTCATATCCTCAGTTTCTTTCAGCATCTTTTTCAAGTGTGGATGACAGTATGTATGTAGGAAAAGAAAAGCTCATCTCTACTCCTCTTCTGGCAATTTGAACCACTCTTAGTCTTTCTCATCATCAAAAAAGAATAGTTTGGAAATAACAATGCTACTAATCATCTAGTTTACTATCTAAATTATGTTACTTCCATCTCTCTCACTCCTTTTTCAGCATCTCTACAGACACGGTCCTTCACAGGAAATACCTGGTAACTCTGACTAAAATAAGTTTATGTACAGCAATAACCATGTGTAAAAGGCTTAGCACAGTTTGGAAATTCTTGCACCATCAAACAAGTATGACCACAGTAAGTCTAAGTCATGTTACTAGCCAAGTGGCAATTGTGAATGCAATACTTGCAAAAAGACGAGGATGGTAATCTTAAGTGACTGTAACTCAAATGAGTAATTAACAGTGTAATTTCTGACACTAAAAGACGTAGAAAAGCTGGACATCCTCTGAGGATCGATAGGGTGGGTGTTCCTCTATTGGAGAAAGTATTCTACAACGTAAACTTGAATTAAATGCTTTGAAAAAAGAGCAACTTGAAGGAAATGAAAAAAAGCAACACTTTGGAAGATTTTGTTATCAGTTTCTCTCCTGATTCTAGACATGCACTTGTGGGTGCTCACATTCACAATAATTAGTGGCTTCTGTAAAAGGCTGACGCTCCCTCATGTTAATGGAACTAGCTCATCTAAACTGGCCTGCAATTTGTCCTATGCTGTTTGCAGCAACAGCATCTTCCATGCTTTGTTTTGTCAAAATTCCTGCAAAAGGGGTGATGATCTTATTTATGGAGCAAACTTCAATTAAGGAGAAAATAGCGTTGCTTTTCCTGTGACGTAAAAAAGAACATGGGCATCTGGAGACTGTTTCAGGTTAGTTACAGGTAGCTTACCTGTTTCTCTGTTTCATTATGGTCTAAGATATTTAAAAAAAAATTCTGCATTTATTAATGTCTGAACATCCATCACAGGTATTGCAGTAGGGCTTAATTTACAAACACAGGCAGATCATTACCACAGGATCATGTTTCAATTTCACACCCAATTTGTGAGAAAAATAGAAATCCCAGCTGAGATTTTGTTTCAGTATTAAAACCCTTACCTGTTCTGCTGTCCAGTGGGCCAAAATCCAAGGAATACTTCACTACGTGATAGTTGTTCCATACGTAGAGAAGGTTGTCCCGGGGATTATAATCCACAGCAGCAATGTACTGATAGGAGTTTGGAAAGGGCACATCCACCATGCTATCCTTGCTTTGGTCAGTGTTATATATGTAGTCTATTTTATTCCCCGTGGCTTCATTGTCATCATCTTCATACACAGACTTGACCACATATAAAATCCCACAGATCATAAAAGCGTTAGAAGCTGACCTCTTGTCATAGGCAGTATCCCACGTCCCTTCAATCCTTAACGTATAAGGGTTTAACTGGCTAATGACTATTTTGCCATTATTTTGTTCTGTTGCATAGATTACCCATAGCCCATTCTCATCCACGGCCAGGTCTATATCAGACTTGCCTCCCCAGCGGTAGGGAGAGGTGTCATGGTAATTTGCATTAGCTATGATAGCCTCCCCGCTTTTTATCCTTGTCCGCAAGTCAAACTTGACTATATTTCGGGTTCGCTCCTTGTTGAAGAACAAAGCCCCATCGTACACCACAAACCCTGTGCCGTCCACTCGGTGCGGGAGTTTGTAGGTCGTGGTTGGCCTCCCAGCGATGAAGTCATCCTTGGAGGAGTACTCCGTCAGGGTGTCTGTTCGATAAGGCGTCCAGGGCATATAGTAGATCTTGTCAGACGCCTGCAGCGGGTCTTTGCACCAGGCACCAGACTGGTGGTCGGATTCAAACAGGTGTTCGCTCTGGTATACTCCTTTTAGCAGTCCAGGGCAAAGAAAAACTGTTGGAGGGGGAAAGAATTTAAAACAAAAACCAAAGTTAATGAGACTCTGGAGGTGGTTGGACCAAACTTCGAAATAGTCTGCAGTTCTGCAGCAGAGGACACTCGAGGTGAAAGCAATGCCCTGTAACTGGAGACCAGCCATCCTGCTGGCCAAGCCTCTAGAATAAGACTTGCTCCACCAAATTTATTGTTTTTCTGCTTTTTCTATCAACTTTGGCTCATTTTCTTATTACTTTTCAAATCTATTTTTACAGGTGTACTTACTTGGACCGCTCGCCTTTGTAAATTCTGAAATGAGTATGTGCCCCCAAAGGATTTCTGGGTTTCTATTTCCAGATTACATTGCAGTGAATCTGTACCTACTAGGTGAAGGGTTAAACTCCGGGGGAATTGTTCCACATAGTTATTTTGAACAGCCCACTGCAGAGTGGCCTAGAAATGGAAATAAGAGAAAGAAATTCCCATCCTTACGGCCCAAGCGATATTAAATATTTAAAGGGTACCAATAGCAAAGCAAAGGAGAATCCCTTAGCAACTCAGAAAACCATTTAAAGCAAAGGGAGCAGGAGAGGGAATACCCAGCTACAGACCAGTAGTGGAACTAGAAATGAGACTTCTGAAGCTGCTACAGGACACACGAAACATGCAGTCCACACAATTAAAAATGAATGATGTATGAAGGCTGAAAGGAAAAGGAAGGAAGGAAGAAAGAAAGGAGAGAAGGAAGGATAAGAACTGGAGAGTTCCACTGGAAAGGAACCCGAGGTTCTTGATTTTAATCAGTTAAAAAATGTCCTGTTAAATATAGTAGTAACTCGTAACTTAAAAACATATACCTTCTATTGTTACATGAGAGGAGCACAGAGGAGCGGTTTGACTAACTGGAGTGCTTTGCTGCTCAGACTTCTGGGGGGGAGAGAGGGGCCGGCTCATGGCTGGGGCATGCCCAGGGCTCGGGAAGAGGTCAGTACTGCCCGGCTGATGCTGGCATCCCAGGAATGCCAACGCCGAGAGTCTGGCCGGCTGCATGGGGAGACAAAAGGGGCACAGGAGGGATGTGCAGAGAGAATCAGGCTTGTCGGCCTTCGTTGTGCACCTCAGCATTCTCTGACCCGGAGGGCTGCACAGGCTTCAGGGGGGAGAATATTTGCTGGTTATTTGCAATAGCGATCTTCAGGAACTCGAATAACCACCAGGATGAGAGATGAAGTGGGGAGCTGCAAAGAGGCGTCCCACCCAAGTTTCTGGTAGCACAGATGGGATCCTGCATTTGTGCTCCCCGCTTGGAGTGTAACCAATTATTTTCTAAAATTCAGAAATCGGTAATATCCTCTGGAGAGGGAAACAGGAGGAAAATCAGATTTAGCAGCTGGTGTAAAAGCATATTGCCTTACTGGAATCTCAGAAACCACCGCAAGTAGCTGACAAAGGGGTGCCATTTCTAAAAGGCTTTTGCAGCATAATTAGATATACTTATGCACATACATACGTGTGCATGCTTTCCAAATTCTTTGGGGCAGGAGAAAAGTGAATTATCTAAACCGTTGAAAAGAAATTTAATGAAAGAAAGTGGTACCGGTAAAACTTTTCAGCAAAAATGAGTTATCTCATGAAGTTGAGCAGCAGAGAGACTAAATAAACTTTAACAAAAAAGTAGTGAGAATTAATGACAAAGTATTTCAACTAAAACGTTAAACTGTTAAATAACTTAGCCTACACATAAGTAATATATATATAATTTGAAAGGTATTTAATTACCTTTTTGCTCCACTTCTATTGTAGAGAGAGAAGTAAAGAGAGAAAGGAGAAAAGAGAATAGATTAATGGTACTGTATTGGCCAGGTACTTTTCTTTACCTCTTTCATATGAAAAGGAAGAATTTATAATTTACTTTAGATACTGCTATAGTATGTGAACATATTTTATATATAGATATATTTAAAGCCTTCCCTCTCATATACACTGGATAACATGCAGACAAGCTGAAAAAAATACAGACATAATTTCACTTTATAAAAGCCTTTAAAAGGAAGAAAACCAACACTTTGAGACATACCAAGTTCCCTAAGCACTCTGAGATACCTCGGTAGCAGCAGCCTTGGACTAAGTTCATGGAACAAAATGAAATACCCGTGCTCTGAAATACGACTCATCCAGATTTATGTAATAGAATGAACTCTTCCAGGGAGAAATTCTATGAAATATACATCATCATATATTTTGCCAAAATCCTGTAAGTTAGAGATGCCTACTTTATTGAGCAGGAGAACATTTCCTTACGAGACTTATAGAGAGCTTAGGTAGTGAAATGGAACACATTCATAGACATTTGCAGAATCTTGTCTTATGTCTCAGAAAAACATACTTCAGTACGAGTCAGAGAAAAAAAAAAACACAACATTTTAAATATTGCAATACTTACATGATTGTCAATGAGAGTCCAAAAACTTATGAGGCTAATGAGTTAAAAATATCTAAGCATTCTTTAAAATGTCCAACCCCACAACCTGCAGGATGTTTTCACGTGAATTATTAACCACTCATAATAAAGCTGCTGAAGAGGCAGCTTTGGAGAAAGCCCCTTGCAGACAGAATAAATAAATACAGTACATGTAGTAATCACTAAATGCTCAGTTATAGCTTCTATAGCTAACAAGGAGGCTCTGGGGGCCCTCATCCACAGGCCTCCTGTGGTTGTGGCACCAATCCCTTCTTTTCACAGCCCACTGTGGCTGCAGCAGCAGCTGAGCACAGCTATTCAAGGATTGGGGTCCTGCCTGCCTCTGCTCAATGTTTGGCTGATCACTCAGGGCAGGATGCTGCTATAGGGTCAGCATGGAGCTGGTGCACCAGTTGGATCCCTGTAGCATGAGCCTGTCCTGTGCTAGCTCATGAGCCAGCTGCCAATATGAACCATGCAGCTCTCTTTTCCGAGTGCCTGCCTCTCTTTCAAAGGACACATGGAAAACCATGTGCCAACATACTGAAACATCCAGATAGAGCTCCAGTTGCTGACTGTGATGCGTTTTGTGCAGAAAAGCTCAGGGCTCCTCTGAAAAGTCAGAATATGGCAGTAGGAAAGCAGGCCTCAAACACCTCCTGCACTTCCCACCCTCAGGTTTGCTGGTTCTGCAGGGCCTCTTCCCAGAAGGAATTGGAGCAGACAGGACCCATGAAATATCACCAAGGAAGAAGCGAGAACTTGCCAGTAAAATAGTATGGTTTTGACAGCTGAGAGATCTCTGTTCAGAGAAGCGAGACAGGAATGTAAAGGTATGCACACGTGCTTTGCTTTTGCTTGCCCAGAGCTCACTCCATCCCTTTCCAGACTGAGACACTTGCCAAATGACTGTCCTCCAGTGCTGTGACTGCAAATCCCTCGTGTTCAAAAGTCTCATTCATTTGGATGGGAAACTGCAGTCTAAATGGAAGATCAACAGGCTGAATGATTCCAGGGTGAGACTGCAAATGCATTGGCTAGACACACAGGTCTGTACTTCTCCACATGCAGAGATGCATGTCCAGAGCCAGCTATGTAACAGCAGCTCCCAGAATGAACATTTCCAAGCTTCAACAGCCTTTTCACCTGGGCTTTGATTCAGGCTCTTTTCTATCTTACAGCAGGTTGAGGTTAAAGGTAAATGTTTTCACCATGTGGCTGCCAGGACTTTAGCAAGCAGAGACAACACTTCAGTGCAAGCACCTGATTTTGCAAGGGATAAAGCCAGCAGGACTAAAAGGCACCAGACCAAGCAACTGGAGAAACTCACACAGAAATTGCTCTCCACATCCCAAGCTGTGGCTATAAGGTGTTAATAAAAACATTAAATTTCTCTTGCAAAAGCAAGAAAGTAACATGACAGCTCTTCCAATATATGCCTTCACACAAGAACACTGATTCTTCTGGTCTGATGTCCTACTGTACCTCTGGCAGCACAGAAGGCAGTAATTCAGGTTTCAAGATGAGCAAAAACTTTTGTAATGCACTCCAACAATTACGCAGTGTTGTAAAGCAGGAAGAGGGAAGCTTTTGCAGGAGATAATGTATTCATGACCAGCTGAGCTGAGTGACCCGAAGCACTGATTCCCCTTATCCTGAATAGCTTGCACATGTTATTAGTGGCCAGTGCCATAGCCAGTTCTGTTATAATTCCAGACATTGTACATGTTCTGGTGAGTTCCTGCACGGTGCTCTTGATGCTTTCCATTGTATGCATTCCAAATACATACTTTCCTCCTGCTGACTGAAGACTTAATGCTTTTGAATTTCACTAATTCCACCACTTATACTGGGGACAACTCTGTATTATTCAAACAGGTTGCGAGAGAAGCTTGAAGGGTTTAACTTGTTGAATTGAATCAAAAGAAAAGGTAGAATTGGGGTCCAATAATCACATCAATTATGCAAAACATCACCGCAAATCTATCTTCGCAGCAGTGACTGAATTTTTCTAGATTCCAGTTAATTTTACATCTCAACAGTGACCAAATACCATAAAAGTGCCAGTTTTCAGCATTTAAAAGCTCCTTATAGCACAGGAGGCTATTTACCTTCCTAAAAGGATCTAAGATAAAAACATCTACATACAGTTCTTTCTTTTACAATGAGACCTTCTGCTCCTACTATTGATACAATATTCATGTGAACAGAACAAGGATATTTCACTTTGATTTCCTAAGTTGCTTGCAGGCTGGTGCCATTGGCTTCCAAAAAATGAAAGGCTGGAAGGAAATCAAGAGCCCCTCAGGTAATCTGCAGGAGTTACAAGACTTTCCACGCATCCTCACTATCTCCCATTTCTTCTGATGTAAGAAAACCCAGGTCCAACATGTGACTATTGACCGCTAGAGCCTGCTGTGCCAGAGCTGAGTGATCCGACAGGTTCCCTGCCACTCGTTTGGAGAAATCACACAAACAAATTAATTAAATGCTCTCAACACCACTGGGTAGAGGCTCTGAAAACATACTCCTAATTTCCGGCACAATTAACACTTGA